GACACTGGGATCCGCCCCTGGCGCTGCGCAGAAGGGACAAGATTTGTTATCTTTTCTTGTACCAACTCCACCTCCCTCGTCCAAAAATAGCGATCAAGTGGGAAGACTGAGTCTCAGAAAACGCCCCCGCGAGAAAATAAATGACCAAAACCTCTTCGAAGAGTTGCCTGTCGGATGGTCGGATAGTGAATGGAGATTGGGGTAAGGACAAAAGAGAGGTTCGTTTGTATTTGTCAAAATGGCAAAATTGGGAAAGACTACGCCTCGTGCAGTGCTGACTTTCATACTTAGGGAAGGTCACTTATCGTGGCTAGGCTAGGTCCCAAAACGAACTGACCACATTTAATCTGGAAATGTCCGCTGAAGTTGCACATGGAGAGATACAACAAAATAGAGCGAGGAGTATTTGGGAAAACGTAAAGATAATTGCTTAGATTTGGGTGCTACAAGATACTGCAGGAAACAAATGATGTAGAAGTAATGAACTATTTTTAAAATGAGCTTCTGCATTTCCCTTTGTAGATTTTTAAGTATCAGGAGTAAAAAGATTCAACTTCTATCCAAAATCAGACACTGTAACATACCAAGCAACAGTGTTCCCCTAAACATGATTTGTAAACAGTCAACACAGACTGTGTAAGCCTCCCAGTACTTTATTATACTTGATTATATTCTCTTATTTTTCATTTTTAGTTCTAAAGAACAAGTTAGAACACTTTTTCATTTTAACTTTATTGAAAAGAAATTTTTGCATAAACCTAACCTTTTAAGGAAGATTTTTTCATTTAAAATTAAAGTCAAGCACATTGTAAAATTTCTAATGAGAACATTGTATCACAAAGTAATTGATACATCATTCCTGCTAGCGAAAGCAAACCATCGTTTTTGGAGAACTTAGAATGTAGAATGCTCCTGAGGTGCAATCGTGTCAAGTTTTTGTCCACCCACTTACACATCAGGCATAGACTACTAAAATAGAACATTGATTTGCTTGCCTTCCTTATTTCCTATCTTCTTTCTATAATAATTTCTCCCAAATTATTCCCAGAACATCCTTCTTACTAAAATCAACAACTTCTACTGGTTTACTAAAACGCCAAAGATAAAATCCAGGCTAGCTTTCCAGAACCATCAACGTTATCCTGGACCTCATATATATTTACTACAAAATGTAAAGGGAGCTAGCATAGTGATATTAAGATCTTAGCAGCTTGAAATGTCACTGTTGGAGAGTCTTTTAGACTTTCTTAGACTTCAAGTGACTTCTCAGACTTCAAGTGACTTCTGTCACTGAGAGTCTTTTAGACTTCTCAGACTTCAAGAGTCCACAGTACGATGCAAAAGACCATTTCATGGCTGCCTGTGGGCAGGTGAGGAAAGGAGCGGAAGAAGAAAGGGTGGGTTAGAAGTCACAAAACACGTTGTCTTGTCATGTTATTCAGGGCCTTTCCTTCCCCACCCTGTCTGTCTACCACTACCGATTTCAATTCTGACATCGTGTGCAGTTGTAGACTTGCTGACTATTTGTCCTCGCCTCTTCATTCTGCTTCTTTCAGCCTGATATCTTCATGACCTCAAAATTCATCTGATCCAAGACTGCTTGACTCCATGATTCCATCTTTCCTGGTCATACCCCTCCCACAGTTCCCTGATGCCCAAAAGAATGTCCATTTCATTTATTTTAGGATTGAATTTACAATAAGTAATATGACTAGTCCTGAACAGTATGTTTGGCTTATCAGTCCAGTTGTAAATTTGAGAGATTAAAGGATATTTCTTAATCTTGTTATACTTCTTATACTTTCATTACAATAGTGATTTCCAAGGCAATTCTGAGTCCTTTGAACTTAGTTTTCTAGTTTCTATGCTCTTCAGAATGGATATCCAAATTGATAAATTCTTGCTTCCAGTTATTTCTCCAAGGCCTGTTATATTTTAATTTGTTTTATTGTTATTTAAATATATTTTTAGGCAATAAAAGAGAATTCTTAAAAAGGACAACAGTAAGCCATGGTTATATTTAAAAATTAGACCACCGAATTAAAGGAAATAAGAAAAGGGACCTAGTAGATAACATTAGAATAGAACACAGCAATTTCATATATATGTAATAATACTAATGTATGTTTCCTTCTATAGGGCAACATTTGTGTAAAATGCTGAGCAACAGATCAAGAGGGAAATCATAAGACAGCATGGTATTACCTCGCAAACTAAGGGTCTGGATTGCAGTAAACCTTGTAGCCTGCTTGTTTTCTTTACGGTAGCTCATCTCTTGTTTCTGAGCAACAGGGAAGCATGGCTTATCTATTCTTCATCATCAGTGGAGTAAAGCAAGATTATGTAACAGAATGAGCTTGCTCAGTCTGTGTCATGAATTCATGCGACAACTCAAAGCAGGTCTTGGAATCCTCTTTACTGGACATGGGTTAATGAGAAAGCCAAAAGATCTATTATTCATCTGTGAAGCCTTAGATGCTCAAGTTTGAATCAGTGCCTTTTCTTGTTCTTCTCAATCCTGCTTGAAAAGTTGCCTTGACATTTTGAAACGTAAGAGCATTTAAAGAGATGTGTCTGTCCTTAGCAAATGCCAATAAATCCTAAGGATTTTTCTGCGATATGCAGCAGAACAGGGAAGATATCAGTATTAAACTTCCCAGGGTTAGCCCTGCCCTGTAATGTGATCAGTTTGCTTCTTACAGTTCTTTACTGTTTTCTTCTTATTTTAGGATTATTTCTGGCTTCTGTATTACGCATCTACTTTTTGCAAGCCATTCAGAACTTTTAAAATTATTTGTTCACTATGCATATATTTGGAATGATGTATTTGTATTCAAATCTCCCTTTCAGTATTTTATAAAGAACAGAAAATGTTGATTACCACACGAACCTTGTATTTAATACTGATGGATTTTGAGATGCTTTAAAAGGAGCAGTGCTCTAACACACACACACACACACACACACACACACACACACAGTCTTTTTTTAATATAAAGTTATTTCTCCTGGTTTGTGCCTGAACCTGAATAAATACAAACTGCACCGGCCTCTCCTACCACGTTTCCCTTCTCTAATCTCCCTTCTGCAGCTCCTTGGAGCCCATCTCAGAACAAGCACAATCTGCATTCAGAAGAGGACCGTTTACAAGTTGAAGGGAGTTATTTTGGGTGAGTCATTGAAAACACAGTACAAAACCTTTCCTCACTCACCAGAAACGCATTTTTAAAAATAAAGCCAAAGCGAACAAGGGTTGGCAAGTTTGAGGGTGGACAAAATGGGAAGAGAGCAGGGCTTCTGGCAGCCTCAGACAGGACCCTGGTACTCTGCTTTTGGCTCTTTCTTAACTTTCAGCTCCACCAATTCCCTTTACTATCACCAACCAGAAAGCACCAGGGTGAGCAGGTAGGACATCAGAGAAAGGACACTATTTCAGCTCGCACTGTGACAATGGATACACCACAGAGATCCAACAGTAGCTTAGCAACAATTTTAAGTCCCCCTTTTTCATCTTTCTTTAATTTAGAAATATACACATAAAATATATATTTAATAATCTTTTTATTCTGATTAATTTTGACAAATAAAACCTAATTATAGTGCAGGCAATTATTAGAAAGTTGTGTGAAAGTCCATTATGCGACCTTTTAGAGTTTCTTTTACAGGGCTGAGGATGTAGCTCAGTGGTAGAGTGCTTGCCTTCAATCCTCAGCACCACAAAATGAATAAATAAGTAAATAAGTGAGTTAATTAAATAAAATAAAGTAGCTTTTAAAATGAATGCAGTCCCATAGGTCTAGATTGGCAAAAAGAAAATCATAAGCTATTCCTAGGGAACTCTTTAAGTGGAATTACTATAATAAATAAAAGTCATTGCTTTGATGAAGTTTGGATGTTTAACATGCAGGGGTTTAAGATTTGCAAATCAGTGTTTATTCTTATTTTCTATCTGTAAGACATTACTTACCCTGAATTGTGGGGAAAACTTTTTAACAGAAGTGCAAGGAGTTCCTTTTCCACAAGCTGCTACGGATGAGGGGATGGTGACATCTCACAAATGAGACGAAACCTGGAATCAACAAGGAGACTTTCCTGAACACATCATGCCAACTCAGAACTCCTGCTGTAGCATCTGATGCTCCTTAAAATCATCCTTAGCACAGGTTAGCTCACAGTATTACTGTAAGCCAATTACATATACAATAGGGTTAAAAATGTCTCCTATTCACAAAAGATCGATTCCCAAGATGTGGGAACAAGCCAAAGAACACTGATTTAATGCAAGCGTTCTCCTTGAACTCC